TCTGCCCATAAATAAAGAAGCTTTTCCTCAGTCAGTTCCGAGACCTAAACCAACCAGCAGCCCGGTGAATCCCTCTCCGTCTCAGAACAAACGGCCACTGTCTTCCATCTCCGGCACGGTTCCACGGAGCAAATGAGGGACCAGTTGCTTGTGATGTCCGGTGGACCAAGACGCAATTAATTCTGAAAGGCTTGGCTGGAGAGATCGAGGACCACGTAATCAAGGGCTTGGCGCTGAGGAGCACAATAGCAAAGGTCAGAGGTCTTCCCTGACACAGCTCCAAAGTGAAATCAAAATTACACTACATCACAAGTTAGTAATCTTCAGGGTAAAACATTTGCAAAAATGATAGCAGACCAGCCATCTATACATCCATGGCCTTTTTGAATCTCTGAATTCTGATGTACAGTTGATAGCATCATGTCATATAATTTCATCATTTCAGCATCATACTATTTACCTAAGGTGAACCTCCAGTCAGGCAATTACAGTACAGACAGGCTACAAAGTTTCTGTCTATGCTCATAATATAAATTATCATGTACCTTCCATACAATCCCATTGTGATGTCTCATGTAGTCTACACACGCTAGTAGTCTAGACAAGACCTCAGTATTATATTCTTTCATTCTCTTATTCTGAATTAATTTAAAAGACTAATATTCTATGGATACATAAACAAAAACCTGGACAGAGGGTAAAATGCCTTTTTAAGGCATTGTCTACTCAATCACGATAGTTACTTGGCCTGTGAAATCTCGCCGACTGTACTGTCAGCGTTTATGCTAATTAACATTTGAGCCACTACTTGACAACAGCGTCAGGAGCTCTATGACATTTATGATTCAGTCTTCTCAGAAGCTTGGCAGCCCACCAACAGGGCTGCAGACATATATGAAGAATTAGGGATAAATAATAAGCTAGCCCATAATCGGTCGCTAGGCAACACTAAGGATTAGTCTGATAGCCAGCGCTAAGCCCACCAAGACTAACATGACATGACGTCACCCTGAAATATAGCTGCCATTGAGGAAATCCAGGCTTTAAAATAAATAGAAGACAGTTGAAAGAATTTTCTTCACACCAGTGAAATTTTAGTCAAATCAACAGCTCATCTAATTACAACGGGCAGTTAAGAGACTACTATGAAATCCGCGTAAACACTTTCCAACCTTACATCACTAGTTATTTATGAGAAATCATACATCATGAATCAGTTTTTGAGTCACCAACTCCATACCTAAACTTCTCCATGCAGGCATGTCTCACACATAAGGATAAACAAGTGCTATATATTCTAACCATGTATATGATATCAATGGCAGAATATTACAACTTGGGGTTTAACTGAGTCACCGATACTCAAACAAATTACTAAGGCAGCAACAATACAGAAAATTCATGGTTCGATAAGAGATGCCATCGGGCCCTTGAGTAAAGCTCTTAAAGTCGACTGCTCCAGGGAGAGGCTGACCGAATGTCGCTCGGGACAAAACCATCTGATAAATAACATTTCTTTCAATTTTAATACTTTCTTTCTCATCAAGAAGTGTTGGTCTTTTTAGACTGATGAAGGTGGACACTGAAGCAGGAAGTGTAGACTAACCATTAAGCTCATACTCAGAGTTTTGAAAACAATGTCTGGTGATGTCATTGTCATACAAATGTCATGGTTTAAAGATTTGGAACCAACTCCAAACTGGCTTGAGAATGTCTGCGGATCCCCCAGAGTTAGATACTGTGTGGCCTCGGAGACAGAGGCCTGGTCAGAGCAGTGGCCTGTACTACGAAGCGGGGTTACTGGCTTATCAGGGTAACTTGTCGGATTTATGGTAGTCTGGGCAAAATGTAAGTGAACGAATATGAAGTCCATTTAAACTGCGGTACCTTAAATCCGACAAGTTACCCTGATAATTCAGTAACTCCGCTTCGTAGTACAGGCCACTGGTCTGACCTGTTCAGCATGTTGCCACCATGACCCTCAGCGGCAAGGTGAAGATGATGATGCTGATGAACATGATCATGATGAAGATGAACTCTTTAACTGCCAATTACTCAATCTTACCAATTTCCAAAGACTTGGATAATAATAAAGATAAGTGATAAGTCATTATATCCATCTTAAATTGGCGTTTTTTGTGTCAACAGAATTTTTGTTTTTATTTTTTTGTTACACGAATGTAAGAGAATATAGATTAAACTAACTGGGTTTTATTTTTTTCTCACTGTAATGTGTTGCTCAAAAACGAAGAACTGATTTTGCATTGCACTTCGCATGTGATAACGCAGGTCAACATTATTGTCGACAGTTACAGAGATCTCTGCTTGGTTACTTTTCAAAGTACATATCAGATGGTGCCATTCAACGTTCATGCACACCTGTGTATAAATGCAGGAACATTTCCCAGTAATGATTAGGAGCCAATCCCAGAGCAGCAACAACTAGACTGAGTGTATTTCTATATGTTTGCATCTAGGAGTGTCAAGTGGCACTGATGGCAGAGTTAACATGAAAGTCATGCAGAAGGTGCTCTTTGAATATTAGAGGAACTTTCAGCACCACAAAAAAACCAGGCTGTGGTACAAAGACTATATAAAAACTTTATTGATCCCCGAGGGAAAGTTTCTGTTACCCAGCATCATTATAAAAAAGGGTCACCTTACATATCTTGTTAAATGGGAGCTGTGTGCCCTTCTGCAAACCTCTTGTTGGCAAGACTGAGTTCTGAAAACTCCCGTAGAAACAAACCTGAAGCCCTAAGAAAACCACATGACATTCTCACATCCCTAAGCTAAACTCCCTTGAAAGTTCTGGGCAAATACACTCAACAGGGCCAGAAGACATGACTTTGAGAATGCGGGATAAACCCCAGCTTGATACAAGACCCAGCAATATCAGATAAACCATTGTTTGTTTATCTGATGATAATATTGAGATGAAAGATGAACACTCAGTTTGAATGTGATGGGATCTTTACAAAGAAAGAGCATCTCATACCCGACTGTGAGATTGTGACGGACAGAGCTGGAGAGCTGAAGGAGATGTAGAACCCACATCTTAGGGCAGGTTCTCCTTCTATAACTTCTTAGAAGCCTGATTTGCTTTGTTTGAAAATCTACCTTTCATGTACAGTATCCGTCCTCCCAGCTGGTCCACACAAACTCCAGGCAGCCGATTTGATTAAATAGGTATCAGTGCTGTACTCCACATTTTTGTAAACTTTTATCTTCCTTAAAATGCACTGCGCATGTATGACATTTTGTTCAACGGAAATGACAGTGTCACGAGTCAGATACAGGACTGGTACACAATACATTGAGTTTAAATAAGCTAAATGGAAAATCTGAAACAACGGGAACTTAAATCTTTAAATATGTATTACCAGGTAAGCATGAAACTGGTGGCATTTGGCAAATTATGTCTACTAGTACTTCTTTTACATTAAAAAATTAAAACCACTCACTCATTCAGTCATTCACTCTCACCTGGGTCACGGGAAGCCAGTGTGTGTTCTTAAGGCCTCCGAATCTGAAATTGCTAAAATGTCTTGGCCAGTAGTCTGATCCCAGAGATGCTAATAATGACTAAATAATTATTTTTGGAGATTTAGTTAGATGTTCAAGACAGTAAAATGCACATGCAATACCGTGCAACCAGTTATCCAAGCATACGTTTCAATATCATTTAGCCAGTGGAACAACTGGATTGAAGCATAAGTTGAAGCAAAATGTAGGCCTACACATAAACAGTTATATTTTTAAGTAGGCCTAAATAAGAGAGTGTGTGTGTGTGTGTGTGTGTGTGTGTGTCTCAATGGAGCAGTATCCCATCCTGGCTGCCTCACACAATCCTCTTTTACAGACAGGCTCCATACTCCAGCTATTATAATTGGCTTATTGAAAACGTATAGATGGATGAATGAATAATTTAATTTATGCATGCTCTCGGTGCTGCTTCACAAAGGCTATGCATATTACAGCTTCACAAGAAATATCTGGAGCAAGCCGGTCATGATCGCCACTTTTCTCCTCTGTAAATAAGAGGATGTGCAAATAATTTGATGTTTATAATGAAAGGTTCCAGAAGAGCACTGTATGGATTAGTAACCCGTTATATGTCTGTAATATCAAGAATAACTATTGTCGGGACCCCCACTTTACATGTGTTCAAATGGGGGGGATTAAATATTACACATATTGTACAAATCATTATATACACACTCACACACCATTTATATAACCCTGGTTAGACTAATAAGGAAATGATTACTGATTTCATTCAGCAATACACATAGCATGTTTATTGTTCGCCAGTTTTTATGGGTACGGCCCGTTTTCGGTGTACAGTAACTAACCGGCGGTCCGTGTTTCCGGCCGGCAGGTACGGGCGCAGCCTTCCCGTAAAAGTGAGCAAAGTGGCCGATTTTTTAATGGAGGTCAAAAATGTGTCGTACTTCGGGGACTTGAAAAGCTCACACAAAAGCACTATGCTGCCCGTCTAAAAGCACTTATATATAAAAACACGGGGGTTTGAACGGGGTTACGATTAATGCCCTTCGTCATATGATTGTTTCTCGTTCGCTTAGTAAATTATACTGCGCAGATGTTACTGTAAAACTGATACAGCATGGTTGGTAAAATTATTAGTTTATTCGGATATGCCTCAGTCCTGCTCTGCTGTGTTTAACTTTTTTTGTATTTAATCAATGACGCTCCTTTAAACGTGGCTGTCATTTCTTGGGATGTTTTCAGTATAAGCCCGACCTGTCACACCATAACGGAACTAGGTGGATTAACCAGTACTTCCCCCACCAACATCCATTTAGTTAGCCGATAGATAGCGAGATTTAAACGTGCAGGTGATGCATCGTATTGAACAGGACACGACGGAATATCAAGTGTAGTCCGCATGACAGTAAATAAACTATTTTTTATCCTAAAAACAAAAAAGTTTGAGACGTGTTATTGAAATGGGCAACTTGCGTCACGTTAACACTTACCGATTGTAATGCGCTTTAATTTTCACGTATTCCAGGTGTAGGTCCATCATAGATTCTTGTTTGGTAGGCATTGTAATCCGCAAAATAAGAGGAGAGAAATCCCCAATAAATATCCTAACAGCTTCCTTTTAAAATCCACGAAAGAAACTTTCGCAGAAGAGAGCGAGCGAAAGGCGACAGCGGCTGTAAAACGTGCGATGTCTCACAATCCGACACATTTCCCTCCGCTCCCCACGCTTCTTTATTGCGGATTCAACAAGTTGACAGTTTTGCTGAGGGGGAAATCGAGGGCGAAGGTAGTTTTATCCGCCCCTGATTTGTCCAGTCGATGCTCCTTCGGCCGGTCTACCTTATAGTTAGGGGCGGAGAGCAATCCCAAGCGCAGCGCTCCGGGACACTGACAGGTCTGGGCCGGCCTACTTCACATCCACCTGTTGTGTGTTGTGGTTCTGTGCAACAACCCTACGAAGTACGGCTTCGTGGACCGGGAAAGCCATCTACTGTAGTAGCGTTGTGCGAAAAATTATCTTCATATAGCAATCGCTTCAAGATGTAAATACCTAACACTGGAAACGTTCTAAATGTTACTGTTGTAGATTATTTTTTGGAATTTATATATTGTAAAACTGTTAACTTCAGCTGACGTAACATGATGACGTTTTCCACATTCCAGTCATAGTTCGCCATCATCTGTGCGATATCTTAACGGACGTATGCTGCACCGAGATGGATGGTATTGTGGTGATCAAATTGAACTCGACAGTGCAACTCCACCCAAAAGCAGGTATTCCAACTTTCCTCAGTACTGACAAATAACTGCCTGCGCGATGTGCTTAAGTAAAAAACAGTACTGTTGAGAGTGTATTTGTGTCTTTTTTTTTGGCCAGCACATCCCATGTTATCCATGTATAACTTTAGACTTAATTGATGTTGATTACTGCAGCAACCGTGAGGTACATCGATCACTTCCGGTGAAGTGAACGTGCCCGAAGTCGGCTTATATAGGACTTCCTGTGGAGCTGCGGATGGAGCTGCTCTTATTGGCTGCGTCTGGACTCTGGACAGTCTGGAGTCGGTCTCTTGGGAAAAGTGGGGCGAGGCTTCTTCGGAAACAGCCAATTAAAATGAAGAATTGTTATCCAATAAGGAAAAACCACGGGAAACCAGTAGCCAATACAGAAGCTAATCGCATTGTTAAACGCATTGTTAAACGGGTTTCTTAATTTGTTATAACATGTAATGTTAGTGTGCTAATATGATTAATTATGATTATGATTCATTATTTAGGTTTTCCGTTTATCCAGCGGCCCTGTACCAGCTTTTGGGTTTAAGCGTATTCAACTCAACTCAACAATGGTATAATCATTCTGTCAATCACTTGATTAGAACCGATGACTTTTTGTAAACGGGAACAGATTCCTAGCCTGGAGAGCTACACACCGCTATTTAACGTTTATGTGAGATAGTCCAGTAAAATTCATGGCGTAGCCGACTTAAAAACATTTATTCTTGAATATAAACTAAAAATATATCCAGGTGGTCGAAAAAGCGAATATTTCCTATGTTTGTGCGCCGCCTACCGGATTGAAATAGAACCATTTTGCTGTGGGTAAGAACTGCATATCTTGTAAGTGTACTTAGAAAAACATTGTATTTTAATATACAGAATATTTTTCTGTGGTGATTTTGATGTTACAATAAATTAATGTCGTGGGGTTTTTCTCAATATATCTGAAAACATTAATTTCATGATTTAAGACAGAAATGCCCAGAAAACGTGGTTATGTGCGTATAAACACATATTTAGAGCTTGTGTAATTTTTAAATGTAATATAAACATTTATAATTAGCATGATGATAGTATATGTATTTTACGTTTTGCACAATGTGGCCTGTGTGTGTGTGTGTGCTTGAGTATGCATGAGTGCATCAGCCGTGTGATTGTGTAATGTTATTGAGATTATTTTATTGTCATCGCTACTATCTGCCTGGGTTAAACAAGGCAAGGCAAGTTTAGTTATATAGCACAATTCAGACACAAGGTAATTCAAAGTGCTTTACAAAAGCAGAAGAACACATTTAAATATGACATTCAAAAGACAAATAATAATAAAATTACATTAAAATGATACTATATAACGAAATTGATTTAATTTATTGAAAATATGCAACAAACAGTAATGTTACTTTTTCATGTCAAAGACACCTGTTTCAACATTGCAAGGCTCGACTACATTACAATATGTAAAGTTCACTGGAAAGCAACTGCATGCATTTTTCAGTTCTTAAGACAGTACAATAGCAAGCAAAGTCACAAAGCACAGTATAACTCAGAAGCAGCAAAATGGTAATACAGGGACAACCACTTGGCAACAGAAGCATGTACTGTGGAAACCAAAAATACAATGCTGTATCACTGCAATTGATGGTATTTTTGTATCATTTTGAAAGCTTATTGAACTGTTTTGCATGTGGTGACTAACACAATGATCACTTACATATTTAGTTTTGGGTGTAAAATTAAAAGGGGATAATCTATTTTGAGCAACAAGACTAAAGCAACTGAAAAATGTGCCAAATGATGACAGTTGAACAGGACCATTTGCATACATGTCTGGTCTGCAGAAGTGACATTGCAGTGTGGGGATTACGGTTGTTCTGCAAATGTTGATTGTCATTTGAGAAATGCTCCAAATCAATCGAGAAAAACTGTATTGCAGATGCAATATGGTCCTCAATCTGAAGCACTGTTGTCACATGAAAGAGGTTGATGTTACCTGTTCACTGGATTATTATTATTATTATTATTTTTTTTATATAATATCTAAGATATCAAACACATTATACAACTCAGATTCTAAATGTAATGAATTTTATTGAAATTAACTGTATAATTTGTGAGCCAATGGCCGTGTTTCTACATAGGTAGCAAAAACATTTAAATTATCATTCACTTAGTAATAACGCAAAAATGTCATGTTGAAAACATTATTGGTGTTGATATCAAAATTTGTAAAGAAATTAATGATTATTTATAATTCTATTTTGAAACCTAAATCACAGAAACTCAAACAATCTGTAATTGTAATGCAGACATTACAATTCATCGCAGATCAAGTGTTTACTTTAATTGGCATGAAAGTTGTATTAAAAATAAGGTCAGGGAAACCAATTTTATAATATTACATTGCATTGACCACTAATCACTTTGTTGCCAGGCCTATGGATGTCACAGATCTCTGCATTTTCTGAAATCAGTCTAAGGAGACCATTCCCTGTTTGTTTGTTTTTCATTATAATGTAGTACAGTCATTTTGGTCAGACCTGGCTGACTACATTTTTAATTCCTGTAATAGCTCTTATGCCTTTACTTTAAAAGATATTATCTGTTACTTAGTTGATCCAAGTAGCATCTTGCAATATGCGGTTACTTTTTTTTAATCTTCTCAGGTAAGTTTAATAGTCAATAGTCAAGAGGAAAAATAAGAAATCCCCACCTATTCTACAGCCATGTCTTTAAATAACTGATAACATCTTAGAATTGATGCAACTCATGAACAATTGCAAAAGTGCCTTTCTGTTGACTAAGAACTCTTGAATGTGTTTAATGTATGTAATTCATGAAAATCTATACCTACGTTATTGTTATTACTGGAATCTTTTGCTACCTTTTGTTACATGATTGTGATGACTGTAATATAATCGCGCCTGGTGCTGTATTATGTGACCTGTACCCTTTTTTTTAAATGACATTCTCGGGGCCTTTGACTTAACATACACAGCGCCCTCAACAGGATTCTGTCGAAACAGCACGCCTATTTCAGGCGGAACGGATCCTGCGAATAAGGAAACTGCCAAATAAGGAAACTAATTTAAGCCTCGTCCAGTTGCTTCTTTTTGTTTGTTTTGTTTTAACGTTAGTTAGAATTAACGATTATAATCCGCTTGGCATCGGGCGGTTCTTCGCTTCCGCAGTCGTGTTGTCATTATGTGACCGGCCTGATTTTTGTTTTAATTGGTACACGTATTACATCAGGTGTTTCACTAAAATGAGAACTAATGATTCCAGAGTGAAATGGCTGACATTCCAGCATGCTGAACTGTCATAAAAATGCTGTATGTCCTTGTAATGGTTAGTTACGCAAGTAACATTGAATCAACTGACTACAGCCGTCAATCTAAATCACAAGGAGGCAGTTTTACGATGTAGCCTACAGGCAATCAAGAATTTTGGATTACAGGAACATTATGGTCTGGCTAAAGTGCATCAATCTCTTATGATGACAAGAAAAGCACTTTTGTGAGTAAAGTTGATGCTATCATGATTTGTTTCCATCCCATCTGTCATGTTCCCGGTTGGCCAGCAGAGGTCTCTGCTTTTCCACTTGAGCTACCTGATTGCTCTCCTCTGTCAGACCCAAAACTTCCGATTGTGAAGGCAGAGGTGCCTCCATCTATATGGTGTTGTGGTACCTGTCTTTCCCTTCTTATCATTTTGACACATTATAGGAGGTGAGTGTTTTTTCTGTTTTTATAAAGATAAATCCTTTCTTTGCCTTTTGCACAAGTACACTGGGTTTCTTCTATTCACCTGCCTCATCTAGCTCTCCAAAGCTTGGGGGGGTCACAGCACTGGGTCAACCAGCATGCAGCCCCTGGAGCTGGGGGTTAAGAGCCTTGCTCAAGAGCCCACGGACACACACATTGTTTTTCAATGGGTCGAAATGGGAGATACTACCAAATTCAGAGGGCATTATTTTTTTTTAACATTCTACAGTAAAATAAGGCCCCCAATTTAGGGTTAGCAAAATGGTATCAGATGGTATTGAGCTTTCAAACAGATCTTGACATTCTCTCACCTATCCAGATGGACATGTGGTCTGTCAGTTAAAAAGTCCAGTACAGTCCCCAAGATACGAATCAGTTCCATTCGCAAGTCCAGAAACTCCCAGGTCCAACAAAGTGAGTCTAGGCTGATGACGCTCCAACCCCAAACCTTCAACTCCTATGGAAAACATGTACATGTACAGCTATTTGTACATAATAAAATGCTTTTAAAAGTTAATATTTGTATTTTTTGTTATAGATTTGTGGTGTATTTTAGCAAGAAACAACTGCGAATTATTTTTTTCCAGTGTTTTTTCGCTCAGATGATCTCTGTTTACCATTATCCACCTAGCCAACACTACATATGCGTACCTAGCCTACCTCTCTCTCTCCACAAATCCTATCAAAAACATATACATAAGAAAATGCTTTTAAAAGATAAAATTGATCTTTTTGTTATTGATTTCGGGTGCATTTTAACGACAAACGACTGAGAATTCTTTTTTTCCATTGTTTTGATCTTGCTTACTGCTAGCAAGTAAGCTTGTGTTACTGTATCAAGAATATCAACAATACATATATACACCTACCTCTCTCTCCTCCCCCCAACCCTCAATTCATGTCGTTTTATAGGAAAGGTAACCTTAAATGACTTCTGTTGTGACCTGGCGCTATATAGAAAGTAAAATTAACTTGACCTTCAAGGGGGGGGCGGGAGGGGAAACACTGCGGTTTTGGTATATACTAGTCATAGTTCACACAAACCATTTGTGATCATTAGTGTGAGTGCAACAGGATGTAAGTCATTTCACTGCATGTTGTACCTGCATAACTATATGCATGTGACAAATAAAGAATCTTGACTTGTCTGACTCATTTCACTACTGGAATGATAGAGGGGTTTTAAGACTTTAGAAGTCAATTTACCTATTTTAAACCCATGTTTTAGGACTCAGAAGGGAAACCAGAGTACCCGGCTGAAACCAGTGCAAATGTAGTGATACAAAATGCAACAGCCAGAGTTCATTCAAAAACTAGCAGATATGATCGTATCAGCCCTGTTCTACGCTCCCTTTGTTGGCTTCCAGGTAAGTCTCAGATTGATTACAAGATCCTGCTATTAACTTTAAAGTACTGTATGGCCATGCATCAGAATGTCTTACAGATTTGCTAGTCTCATACAGCCCTCCTTGCCTGCTTCCAACTCAAGGAGCGTGATATCAGTACTTAGAGTAGGAAGAACTACGGCAGGCTGCAGAACATTCTCTTATAGAGCTCCACAGCTGTGGAATAGTCTCCTACAGAAGTGCAAGATGTAAAGCACTTTCAGACAATGTAATGTTGTGAAAATTGAATCAAACTTAATAGTGATAACAAACTTTAGCAGAGCTGGGGGGCAGCTGTCAAACCCCAGCCTTGGACATGTGAGGCCACCCTGTTACTTTGTCCACTGCATAAACACAGCGAAGATATAAGTAAACCAACTGATATTCCTGTGAAGATTCTCAGACATCCAGGTGAATCTGTCTGGTGGTTCAGTCATGGCAACTGGACTTCTGTCTTGTTAGGTAGAAACGTTTCACTGCTCATCCAAGCAGCTTCTTCAGTCTGAGGAAGGTTGTTAGTGATCACAAATTTATCCTCCAGGATAGTTTCATTTCACACCAGTGGCCTTTACTACCAAGCAGGGTTATTGGCTTATCAGGGTAACTTGTCGGATTTAAGGTACCACAGTTTAAATGGACTTCATATTCGTTCACTTACATTTTGCCCAGACTACCTTAAATCCGACAAGTTACCCTGATAAGCCAGTAACCCCGCTTAGTAGTACAGGCCCTTCCTCTGATTAGGCTCGCTGAGTGGAACAAAAGGGAGGGGGGAAGGTGTGGGTAGATGTAACAGTCAAAGTTAACTGTCGTTATGAGTGGTCCACCTGGTGGGGTTGTGAATTTGGTGTGATTTCCTCCACCTCTGTTGAGTGCGGGGTTGTTGATTTGCACGTGCAAAGCTTCCCTCACCTCTCTCTCAAACCACTTGTCTTCTCTATCCAGTATCTGTGCGTTAATGTTTTTTCCAAGACATACTGTCTGGGGTCTGTCTGTGATGGGTGTGAGTGCTATGGGGCGTTAGTGATTCAGTGATGATGTTGGTGATTTTTTTGGCAGTGGAATAATGGTAGTAGCACTGAAGCACGGAGGAACAATGGCTTGTCTCAGAGAAATGTTGTAGATATCTGTGAGAACATCTGTGAGTTGGTCAGCGCAGTGCCTGAGTACACACCCTGGTATGCTGTCGGGACCCGCAGCTTTTGGTGGGTTAACCCTGCGCAGGGTTCTCCGAACATCACTGTGGTCGAGACAAAGTATTTCATCATCCATGGTGAGAGGGGCTTTTATTGCTGTTGTGTTGTTATTTTCCTCAAACCGGCTAAAATAAGTGTTAAGTGTGTTAAAGAAGTCTGTGTTATCATCACAAGGTGGTAGGGGGGGGTTTGAAGTCCGTAATAGTTTGTGAAGTGTGCTTGGATTTTATGTCCATGAGCCACATTTCTCATTAAATTGTATTTGAAATATCACTGTCTATCCAGGTCACTCTGATTTAACTGTTTGCTTGGATCACATAAGCAGCATATATACTGTCATGCTACTCATCATGAATCATGCCAGTTTAATGAAAAGCATGTAACCTAATTAATGGTTTGTTGGTACTTGGTTAGAAAACGACTGATTTCATACAGTCTAATGGGAATTTTTTCTTTCACAGACATATTTAATTCTTCTGTGTGTTAATTATAATCTCTGTTACGCGTGCGGCCAGGCTGAATATAAAATCGGTGATGAGTGCTGTCCTATGTGTCACCCTGGTAAGTCACATTATACAATAGTGGCCACAAGTCTGTCCTCATTGCTTAGAAACGTCAAAGGAATCTGCCAGAATAACCAGCATCTCATCTGTTTCCAGGAACTCGTGTCTACAGACATTGTACAGCATGGACCAGCACTTCATGTGCTCCATGTACAGATTCCACATTCAATGACCAGCCCAGTGGTCGTGAACAGTGCAGCCCCTGTACAGTCTGTGATGAAGGTAAAATTTCACTTCAGTTCAGCTATCCATCTTATTAACACATTCATGAAGTATAATACATTCATGTTTGTCTTGGTTGTTTCTATATTATATCTGGTTACTTTTCTCTTTCCTCCACAGACCTTGGTCTGAAAACAGTGAAGGAATGTACACACTATTCAGACACACAGTGTGGGGTCCTGGAAGGGCACTATTGTATTAATCCTTATATGGGAGGGTGCAGGGCAGCCAATAAACACACAGCCTGCAAACCTGGACAGTTCATCAAACAGCCAGGTTTGTATGGATTTCTCATACTCATAATGTATGTTTTAATGAGTGAAACCAGATACTCAGTTTGTCTTCTTTAAATAAGTTAATGGTTTTAAATTTGTTTACCTTTCAGGAACAGAATACACTGATACAGTATGTGAGGACTGCAGTGATAATTCATACTCTGATGGTTCTTCCATGCCCTGCAAACCACACACAGAGTAAGTCTTCTTAATTTCTACCAATGATCAGGAAAATGTTATTTGTTTTTTTGTGAAGGAAAAATTATTTCCCTGTGACTCTGTATTACATTCTGTCTCAGTAGCTTCTACGGAGCCCCTGAAGGGACCGGGAGGGTGGGGGGGAAATCTTTGGTTTAAAAAAATGCACTTTTGCCAGATCTTGCGTACGGAGCCCCTAAGAGGTTAGGGAGGGATTTTTAAAATAGTTTTGGGTTCCCTTACAATATCGTTACGATCCCACTACACTTTCCCACTAATTGCTACGCCTATTTACTGCAACGTAATGGCATGGATAAACCTAAATAATACAGACATGTCCTATGAAGTGTGCTTTATAAGCATTAAACTATGGGGGACAATGTACACCATGTAACTTTAATAGTACGTGTTTTTATACGTATTCGTGTCCATTCACCGCCATTGACACAGTTGTTATTGAATGTGAACTGCACAGTTACAAACACTGAAATATGTAACAAACTGAATTGAAATCTGCACATAAATTGAAATATATAAAGCTAACTTTACCGAGGTGTTGGAGAAAAGGTTTAAACACGGACCAGCTTTCTGTAAAATTCCACTTGTAGTAAGTCAGGGGGCACCTCTGGCAACTACTACAAGCTTTGAAATGGGAGAAATCCATTCGTGTGGTTTACAGTAATTTTTCAAAAAAACTTATTGAATTACAGTAGACTCATGGTTGGATATTTCTGTAAAATTCCACTTGTAGTAAGTCAGGGGGCACCTCTGGCAACTACTACAACCTTTTAAGTGGGAGAAATTGGTTTAGTATGAATGTGAAATTATTGCAATTTCACAGAAGTTTGTATTAAAAAATCTTAGCAGAAAAGCTCCAGTAGCAATGCTTGTTTCTCCAGAATGAACTTTGCACTTTGTAGACGGTCCCTAGCAAAAAGCTGCGCTTCCAACGCTGGCTTATTACTTTCGCAGAAAATGTCTCGTCACTACAATAATTAATGAACATATAACTCACTATGCAATGTTGTAGTACAATCTGCATTTTCTCCTGAAACAGAGAGTGCGACTTTTGTGATTTTTGGTGGTGTCGTTTCAAAGATATAGGGGAGGCAAATCCGAATATCAAACGAATATCGAATATAAAACCAACTTTACCACGCTATAGCTTTCTGAAATATTTAAGTAAAGATTCGCATATCCCTACATACATCATCAAGCGAGAATACCAGGGAGGTATACCCAAAAGTGGTTTCCGATTTATACTTTAAACTTATATTCCGTTTTCCTGCTCACGTTCAGTAGTTCGATCAGCTCTCTCATTTACAGTCACTGACGGTGAACGAACAATTACTAACAAATACAATTAATAATAAATACGTTCAGAAGTTCAGAACACGTAAGAAAATGACACAGTGTGCATTGTTCCCCATACTTTAATGCTTAAAGGACACTTAAATTGACATGTCTGTATCGTTTAGGTTTATACTTATTAGTCCATTAATTCTATTGTTCCATTGTACTTTAAACGGACACAGTACAATTATTAGAAAAGATTTGCGAGGGATTGCAAAAATATTGATTGGGAATGCAAAACTATTAAAAATATATATTTTCCCAACCTTGGGGCTCCCTCAAAATCTTTGCGTTCTCGCAATAGAACTGTATACGTTTCTATTACCATTAATAATCGTACAAAGGATAGGTTTATAAAATTAGTCCACAAATAAATTCTAATTAAGCGATACAGGCATGTCCTACATAAAGTGTGCTTTAAGCATTAAACTTTCAGGGACAAACTTTCGGGTTCGAGTTTAAACCTTAACATATTTCAGTGCCCGTGTACGCACTTCACGTTCAACAGTCTGGCTGCGTGGCTTAAAGTCACTGGCGGTGAACGGACACATTGCAATTATTAATAAATACATATAAAAACATAATTTGAAAGTTACATGGTGTGCATTGTCCCCCATAGTTTAATACTTAAAGCACACTTAACTGGACATGTCTCTATCACTTATAATATTACTTATTAGTCCAAAAAAATCCACAGCGCAGGTATTAATGGTAAGGGAAAAGTATTGCAATATCTCGCAAAAGTTCTTTTTTTCCCCTCTATGTCCCTTCCGGGGCTCTGTAAGTTTCTCATACAGTATCATACACGCTTATTTGTACAGCTGTGAATCCAGAGGACTTCTCACAGTTAAAGCAGGAGACCAAGCAACTGATTCCGAATGCAAAGAGAAAAGTGACATCGGATTGTCAGTCGGAATACCAGCAGCAGCAGCAATAGCAGCAATAGCAGTAATAGCAGTAAAATGCAGAAGAAGAATAAAACCATATACAAGGTACGAATATTACATACATAAATACACGAGGGTTTATAAAATTGTTTTTATTGGGAATGAACAAAAAAAGTTAATTGTCATTTTAAAAACTAAAGTTGGCAGTAATCTGAAATACTAAATACACAAAGAAGAGAACTTGAATGACACCAAGCTGTACTGTGATCATTTTTTTAAATTAATATATATTTTTTAGGAATCCACGAGCAGAATGAGGTGTGTTAAATTCCTATTTTTTGTATGTATTTTTTTTCAGAAAAATTCATATAATACATTCAACCAGCATTTAATAAGACCAGACTATATTAATATTAATTACATTCAACATTTTGACAGGATCAGCACTCAGAATGTGAAGATATGGTACCAAACTCACCAGAAGTCAGTTTATTAGTAATAAATTCAGGAAAGTAACCAAAGGTCCTTTTATGTATAAGCTGATCGATTTCCATCCCCCTGGGTTCAGTGTAAAATGNCAGGGACGGCTAAACGAACCGCGCCCGGGCGCGATTCGGAGCACTCACACTAGTCAAACGAACCGCGCTTTGGTGGTCAATCGCACTCGGGCCGGGTCAAACTGCCTAGTGTGAGTACACCCTAACTGTAACACTACCAACCTTTTTACGTAAAAGCACATGTCTTAATATTAGCTACTGCATGTGGCCTTTTACAGCTAAAATGTTGAAGTTTAGCTGTTTTAACTACTGTAATCATAAAAAAAATTTGCAACCTAAACATCACTTCCTAACATCGTCCCTAGCAAATAACTGTTTCTCCTCTTATGTTCCATACTTACTTGCCCTGGATCTGCTTGTGGAACCAGCTCATCTTTCTGTCCCTGATAACTGCTGGCATGTTGCTGTGTAGCTGTCTGCCTGACTTCTTCACTGCTGCTGGCTGTGCTGCTAAATATGTCCGTTAGTTTGTGACATTTAGAGGCTTCATCATCTAATGCCCGCAATTTTTTTTTCTCTTGCCTTCTCAGCCCCACCCTTTTCTTTCCTTTTTTTACTTGTAGCCGCGTTTTGCATCATTTCACTCCACCGTCTTTGCCTCCTACTCCACTTCTTCTACTCCTTGCCTGGCGGCCACAGCCAATGCAGCTGGCATCCGACTTAGAGGTGCAGTGCTGCCCCCTAGAGTACTGGAGTGTGAAAGAGATTAGTGGGGGGGAAAAAACAGGTGTTGAAAGCATGCGTGGAGAGTGGTGGGCCGGCCCGCCGGCCTTCCTGGAGTACCGGCCGTTCTGTGATTCTCCAGAATCCACAGATGCCCAGTGCGCCCCTGGGTGTATCTGCTGAATTCTGCAGAGGTTAGTAGTTCACGTTGCTCTTGTGCTAACAGGCAGCTTGTTTCTTCCTCAGGTATAAGATGACTATGTGAAATAAACCCACAGAGGAGCCGCCTGATACTTCTGACTGTTTCCCCTCCCCCTTCTCAGTATTGACTTCTTCAATAACTGCACAGTGGTTAAATAATCCTTGATTTTTCTCCAGAGTAATGTAGCATATACATCCCCTCCTGGTTTTCAGGCAGTGCCAGTCAACTCATCAGGCAACACAGGCAGCTGCCTAGGGCGCCTTCTTCTGAGGGGGTGCCGACTTAGCAACTGCAGGTCTTTGTCGAAGGTCCTGCTTACCTGACCTTTGACTCTTGGCTAATTGCACTGTTACTTTCCATATTTGCCCTGGCTGGCACCTTATTGCTCACTGCTTCCTGATTGGCTCCTACTCTGCTTTCTCAACATTGGCAACAGAAGTTCTGGTAACACAAAGAAGTCAGCTGAAGGGGAAAGGAACTTCTTATGGACATAAGTCCAGACACCTAGTGGTCTGTTAGAGGTCCTTCATGGTCTGTATCTGTGTGACACTGACAAACGGACATTTTGCTAGCTGTTCAGGGGTTTGTACTGGATGACCACAGAAAGGCTCTTCAAATCAGAGACAGCATTAAAATCCCCAGCCTTAAGGACTGAGTGCTGCTCTCGGTACTGACTGGTCTTGTGTTTGTATTATAATAATTTTAGGTAAAATTTTCTGTGACTTTATCCATAAATGTAACCATACATTAATGCCATATAAACTTATGTACCCTGTATAATGTAGAAACTGTATTTTTATATAATATGAATCTTTCTACAGGTGAGTTTTCCTGATTGTGTTTTGATAACAGTCTATAGATTACCAGTAATGTTATATGTTGCTGTCCTCACAAGTATGGAGAGATGGATTCAAATCTTGACTTCATATTATGCAACTTACAAGTTCTGATCGAAGTGATGTTTACAGCAATTAAATATTGCTTGACATCAGATGGGTCTGTGAATTATTATACATTTTTTTGTGATCTTGACCTCTTTCCCAAAATGCATGTCATACCCTGCATCCCTGTTTCCAGTGAGTGCTTAATTAGGCTGGATTAATCTTAGGTTGATATTCAAATGTAATTTGTCGTATAATTTATTCTTTGAGATTTTGAGCAGAGTGAGACAATAGTGGAAAAATAATTTACTGCTAACTGACCCATTTTCTAAACACTTACCCTGGTCAGGGTCACTGATAAAGCAGATTCGGAAGCAGATTCTGAAAATGATCTTACTTTTGTTTTATTCAAATTTTTACCTAAGAAAAATATATATGTGTGTGTGTTAATAATTTAAACCATCAAAGTTTTTGGTGTAGCTATTAAACTATCTGTAGCAAATTAATAATCCATCCATCTTCTGTAACAGCTTGTCCAGTGCACTGTTGTGGGGAGTCTGGAGCCAATCACAGGAAGCACAGAGCACACGGCAGTGGATGGGATGGGATGCCAGGCCATTACAGGGCACACGTTCATACACAGAATCACTCACTATGGGCTCCTTTAAGACACAAGTTCACCTCATCCAAGGTGATAATCCATAATCCATGTCTCCAATGAGACATGGATTATGGAACAGAAACTGTGTGTGCTGACTATAACCATGACAACACTTAGAGGTTGGCAAGTGGCAGATCTAGGCTTTGGCCCATATCTACATATTAATTCATCTTACTGAATAGTGAAGCACATCGGAAACAAAAATGTAGAAAAAAAAAAAAGTGGTTTAAATATCTGTAAGACATGGAAAAGTCAAATCATAAGTTTGTTTTATTTTTTGCTTTGAGCCAAAATGATTTATGACTGACAGAAAAAGTGTGTGTGTGCTCCCTGGGATACAAACCCATGATGCTTAGATTATTACTATAACTCTCTGTTTATTGAGCTACAGGAGAAGCTTTTATGGCACTCCCTCCCCCACAGTACAAAAAGGTTGTGCTGTCATCTCTGGCTACATATTCCACTTTCTCCAAACTCAATGTCTACCTTGTTTTTCTGCTTCTTCTCCTTTTTATTCATTTTATTCCTCATATTGTAAAATACTTTTTCAAATATAAAGTCCTTGTTCCATCTTTCCTCTCTGGTATCACATGGATCAATTCACTGATCCAACTTATGCAAGCCAGTGCAGCTTAGATCCATCACTGTGGACATAAGGACAGTTTTTCTGTGATTCTCTGTCCTGCAGCTCCACGTCACCCAGCAGCTTGGTCTTCTGGAGATGGTGACTGAATTACTTGGGCATCTGCTCTGAATTGGACTCCTCCAAGTAGGAGATGAGTGACTGCAGCCCTCTTCTCATTGGGCTGCCCTGTAAAATTGGTTGAATAGTTAATATTTCTCATACTTTGTTGAAGTCATTCTACTTAAATATTTTGCCATTGTGTCTTCTTTTCATACCTATAATGCGACAATTAGCTTCATACTCGGCACCGTCACAACTGGAAATGATACGACATCGAACCAAACAATCAGTAATCAGACGTCAGCAAATTTTCAATAGTCATTAACGATTATGACAGGGGAGACAATCCAGGGGTGGGGGTCACTTTAGAGCACTACACTGGCCAAAAGTATATTACGCTGGATCACATCATTTGTAGACTTAGGCGCAGCATGTGAGATAAAATCGTACCTAGTAACTCTGACAGGGCATGCTCCACAAACATACATGTTGTTCAGGTATTTCCTACTTTATCGAGACAAAGCACGCACCTTCTGAACAATGCCCGCAATCCCGTGTAATTTTCACATTACGTCTGCAGGGGGAGCTGGAGTTGCATCTTCATCGTTGTTGTCCACACTCTGCAGGCAGAAGTTTCACTTTAAGCACGCAAAGTTTTATAACGAATGTTAATAGGCTACGGTGAAGGACAATCCCAAACACAACTAACACAAACGATAACATAGTTGTAGCGTGTTCATATCGTCAAATATCAAGTTCCAATAAATATCCGGGGACTTCAGCTCTTTTCATACACTTTCGCTCTTAGCGTCCCAGACCTTTGCAAAGCGTGTGTTATTTCTGTGCGCTATGCACTTAACTCGCTTCAGAAACCGCAGCGCATATAAACATCCGGCCCGCAGACCTGAGTGACGCCCTCTTGTTTTCTAGCGTCTAGATGCTCCTTTCCGTTGTAGCGTTTGTGGTTCCTATTTTTTTTCTTGTTTATTGATCTCTTGTCAGTCCTCCCTTAGTATCAGTTACACTCTTTGATATCTTTGCTTTGTTTTTTTCCACGTCTGTAGCTATGCAGCACTGATCTGGTGGCTGTCCAGCACCTCAAAGATCAAATGACAAAATGAACGTGGTTTCTGTAGACAGAAGATCGAGATGGCAGAGTACCCATATCACAGCTTAAGTGCTTTGTGTCAATAAAGCACTTAAGGGTGCGGTGCTATAATACATATGAAAATTGTATATCAATATGAAATCATGCAGACACGCAAATTATCATGTTGATTATCGGGAAGCCCGAAGACTAACAAAATGTCACATTATTGACAGAATTCAATGAAACCGTCCAGTCAAAATCACGTACGAGTTTATTTGATAGGTAACATTTTTTTTTCTAAAATTAACAAACTGAAAACAAATTTTAATTTCAGGCTGACACTGCATTCATCATATTACAGCTGAAACAGGACAATAACATGAAAACATCAAAGTGCAGTTTTGACATATAAAATCACAGCCAGATATAATCTACAAATTATTTTAAAAATATGTTACAAGAATTCATTTAAGAATTGAGAGATGGCCAACTTTTCTACTGTGCCTAACATTAACCGTGTTAGCTGCAGACCTGTGTTTACAGGTCTGCTGTGTAATAGTAGTTACCTCTGTGCAGGCCTAAATCACTAAGAGTAATATCTTTTAACATGATAAAAAATGGTACAAAAATATTGTTAGGCCAAAATCCCTGAGTAATGTCTTTTTACATAGAAAATCCAAACATGGCCATTCAGTATGGTACAAAAATATTCCTAGACCCATAATTCTACTGTATGCAGTGTTATATACAGTTAATGGAATTACTATCAACCTCCCAAGAAATGCGCACGAAAAAAGACCAGGATAAACAGTTAGAAGATGGATAAATGTTGTAGTGTTATTTGTAAGATTGACCATTTAATGCTTAACATGTTACTGTAAATGAGTCTCTGGCTGATGCCATCAAGTTCCTTCACATGGGGGGCAATTTTAGGGACCTTGCTGCAGATACCACATATCATGCAATATCTATACAACATGAACCAGACCATTCCGTAAACCAAACTATGAGTTATGCATAAATCTACCTCCATATCAACTTCTATTTTCCTCTGGCTGTCTACAGTCCTGTCCATCCCCAGTGTAGGTGCCTGGATCAGGCAGATGTATGTCACATATTGTCTTTTAGCCAACACTTTAATCCAGAGTGTCCATTTTCATAGAATAATCCTAGTTAAGTACTTTGCTCTAGAACACTACAGATGGGGCTTCAGCAACACGTCTGTGTCCTTAATGGCTGTGCTAGCTGCTGCTCCAGCAACCCTGCACCACAGCTTCCTAACATCCCTGCTTCAGTTACGAATCACAGCCACAGCACTGGGCTGCTCTGAGTCCTGCTCTTAGGTAAACCCTGCCAGGTGACCTAGGGAGGGAAGATGCCTACAGAAGTGGGGACAGGGCTCTGTATAGGCAGGCCAGAACACGCTCACCAAGGAGATCAGAGTCGCTAAAAGAAGCTACTCTGAAAAGCTAAAAAATAAGTTTCAGTGTGGAGAGGCCTGCAAGACATCACTAATTACAGAAGACCACCCCCCCCTGCTGGGGCAAACAAAAACCTCAGCAACTACTATTGCAGGTTTGAGAGTGACATATTCACACCCCTCACCCACTCCAGCCCAACGACAATGGGAACCATCACACCGAGGAGGATGTGATTTCCCTCTCCTGCCTCAAAACCTATGCTGACCAGCTGGCTCCAGTCTTCACTCAGATCTTCAACAGATCCCAGGAGCTGTGTAAAGTTCCCACCTGCATCAAACACTCCACCATAATCCCCATCCCCAAGAAACCCTCCATCACTGTACTGAATGAGTACAGACCTGTCGCTCTGACATCGGTGGTCATGAAGTCCTTTGAACATCTGGTGTTGGCCCATCTGAAGAACGTCACAGGACACCTGCTGGACCCCCTGCAGTTTGCCTATTGGGCAAACAGGTCAGTGGATGATGCAGTGAACATGGGACTGCATTACATCCTGCAACACCTCGACCGAGGGACTTATGCAAGGATCCAGTTTTGTGGACTTTAATTCGGTGTTCAACACCATTGTCCCAGAAATCACCTCTTCCAACCTTTCCCAGCTAAATGTATCTCCTGCTATCTGTCAGTGGATCACCAGCTTCCTGAATGGCAGGGAACAGCAAGTGAGGGTGGGGGAGATCACCTCTGATGTACGGACCATCAGCACTTGTGCTCCTCAGGCTTGTGTTCTATCCCACCTGCTCTTCTCCCTTTACACTAACGACTGCACCTCCATGGACCCAGCTGTGAAACTTCTGAAGATTGCGGACGACACCACAGTCATCGGACTGATCCAAGATGGCAACAAGTCTGCATAACAGTGGGAAGTCGAGTGACTGGTACTTTGGTGCAGCCAGAACAACCTGGAGCTGAACACGCTCAAGACTGTGGAGATGACAGTGGACTTTTGGAAATACGCCTCAGCACTGGTCCCCCTCACCATACACAGCACCCTTGTGTCACCTGTGGAGACCTTCAAGTTCTTAGGTACTATCATTTCCAAAGACCTGAAGTGGGAGAGCAACATCTCCTCCATCCTCAAAAAGGCACAGTAGAGAATATACTTCCTGCGACAACTGAGGACGTATGATCTCCCACAGGAACTGCTGATCCAGTTCTACCCAGCAGTCATCAAGTCTGTCCTGTGCTCCTCCATCACAGTCTGGTTTGGAGCAACCAAACAGGACAGGAACAGACCGCAACGGACAGTTAGGACAGCAGAACGAATCATTCTCTCCAGGACTTGTACACTTCAAGAACCAAGAAAAGGGCAGGGAAAATCCTCACTGACACATCACACCCTGGACACTGTCTCTTTGAACTCCTCCCCTCTGGCAGATGATTCAGAAGTCTGCAGACCAGGACCAGTTGCCACAGGAACAGTTTCTTCCCTTAAGCCATCACCCTTACAAACATCTGACCTGCAACACCAATCTACACCTGTTTCCCTGACTGCTACACCCTGCTCCACTCACAACACGCCACTGAACTGAAGCTAAGACATACCTTATACTTTGCACCTTGTATGTTGTTTGCACTTTTTGTACATTGTTCTGTCTGTAAATAATATGCCCTTTATACTGTATTTAATCTGTACTGGTTTGATCTATTGTATTGTAATGTACCAGAGACACCAAGTGCCACACACACACTTGGATAATAAACCTGATTCTGATTCTGATTACTGCAGTCCAGCAGCAGTCAGTGAGTCCTCGGCTGTCCTCTGCTCTATTCTACATGGATGTCACCACATCCTAGCTTATAACTGTTATAACTGATGGAACAGAATGAATGTGTCTGCATTCTTTCGGAGAGAGCATGGTTTGTATAACCCGGGGCATGATGAGCTTCTTGTTAGGCTTTTCCCTGTAATGGAATGAAACCAATTAGGAATGCTTAATGAACAATTAGAGGGAGACAAGGCTGGAATGACACCAGGATGCATTTAAGTTTTATATGAGGGGTGTACGGCAACAAAGGACAGAGAATGGAGAATAACACATCTTCAGAGAGGCTGCAGTCTCAGCAGGCTTTATAACAAAAACAGTAACACTTTACTTGACGGGGCATAAGTAATATAGTATTATGCTATTACTTAAGTATTAATTAACCATAAACTAAGGTGTAGTTACATAATGATCTCATGTTTGTTTGCCATGAATGAATCATGATACATCTTTTAACCCCAGCAGTTATTATATTTGTTAATATATCTGTTAAGTCTGTAAACCTCTGAGAACTACTGAAGGAACAAGTAATGAAATACTAATATCATGTTTGTTCATCAATAATGAATCATGATGGATCTTTTATCTCAAGTAGTGACTATATTTGTTCATGATTTGTACTTCAGTAGTAACTGAGTTATTACTAAATATTTGTACCCCGTCAATTAAAACATTACTCAAAAATCTAAAAATCCACAAGTAAGTGAATGGGTGTTTTTAAATTGCCTATAATGATGTGTGCTGTGTGAGGGACTGGCATTCCGACAGGTATGTCCCCTGCCCTATGCCGTGTGAGGGACTGGCATTCTGCCAGGTATGTCTTCTGCCCTATGCCGTGTGAGGGACTGGCATTCTGCCAGGTGTGTCTTCTGCCCTATGCCGTGTGAGGGACTGGCATTCTGCCAGGTGTGTCTTCTGCC